TGTGAGCTGTCATTATTAGCCAGATTTTCATTTTCCAGTTTGTTACTGCTTGATGTGCAGCTGGGAGTGGCAGATTGGAGGCTTTGTCTCCCAATGACTATAGATCTATTCTCCTTTGCAGCACAGCCATGTTCCCCTTGGCCTCCTGCTAACTCAGCAGAACTCCTCACTTCAGGGTCCTTATGTCAGAATCCTCTCTCCTCTGCCACCCTGACCCCTTCTCTGAGCATGTTTGTGTTTATCATGCATATTCTCCTCCTGCAGAGAAACAATTATGACATTAGCCTGGGGACATGAGCACTATGTCTTCAATGATCATGTGTTTGTGTGTGTTTATGTGGGCACGTGTGTGAGACTAGCAAGAAGAATATGGCATGGAGGTCGAGTTAAATGGTTCTGAATGAATGGTGGATCAGTGTCATCAAAGAACTACTACTGTGGATGAAAAGAAATAAAGCATCTTATGCGTGTACTTTGTGTTCATCCCAAAGCTATCCTTTGTGGTTGTAACTTTGTCCCATGCAAGCCTTTGGTGAAAAGCTACCAGGTGGGCACGTTGCTCATGGTTGTGAAAGGTCAGTGAGCTGATCATGTGTGAGCTGCTAAGTGGGTGTTGCTTCTTCAATGTATGTGTACACCTGGCAGATATGTGTGGTGCTGTACCACTGAAGTTAAAGTGGTGCTACTTTGGTAGCAGCAAATGACTGACATTGAATACATATGACTGATTTCCTGCTGCCATCCCTAGGGAAAAGAACTTCCCTTCTCTCTTGGACAGCCTTAAGGAGAACCTTGAGAGAGGTTTTGCTAAAACATGGTACTAGTTGTTTCTGGTCTCTGACATCACCTGGGCTGGATGAAGGTAATGAGCAGAGGTTGAATGACAGTCTTGAGTTGCAAGCAGTGTAGTGCTATCCAGGTGCCTTTTTAATATAGCACCCAGAATTTGGAGTTGGAAGACCCCTGCGGAGAATAGACCTCCTGCCTGCCTACCAATAGATTTTGAAGCTCTTTTTTCATTTGCTCAAGCTAATATCTATATTTCCCCAATTCTGTATTTCTTAGCATAGACCTGAGTCACTTCCTTTAGCTTTATGCTGTGCCTCAGCTGATCACCATGGTTGCTTGGCTGAACATGGTATACTTACTTTTATTATATACATGTTTGTCTTGTAATAAGGTAAGCCCATGCTACCATTCTGTAAGATCATGACCTCATACCTCAACTCCTCTTTCATGCTAGCTCCTCGTAACCCTCAACTCGTTATTTCAAAAATAAATCTATTTTAGTGACCCAGCCTCCACAAATCTCAAGGGTAGTGTATAATGCTTACTGTTTGAGAGTTCTACACATAACAGGAGACTGCACTGTGCCTGTTTTCTTTCATTTAATACTGTGTGGTGGCTGAATTCTCGAGTTGTTAACATAAATATAGAGGTCTGGCTTAAGGTTCAGCTTGAATCATGAGTTAGTTACTATCCAAATCCCTTCAATTTTGCCAAAGGTAGAATCAGATGTGCCTTAGATTATCTTAAATTAGTACACTGGTCTTGGTTTAAACTGTAATAAGATGAGGAAAAATATTGCTTCTAAGCGGCACAACTGTGCAGAACTTGAAAGTTTCCAAGTAGGCTGAGCACAAGTCAGTCAGTCCCTTTTAGTTTCCAAATTATTTAAAGAAGCTGCACTCTTAAACAAATAGGGCTTTCAAATTCCAAAAGAAAAATCATGTCTATTGACGAGGAGTAAAAGATCAATGAGATTTGAATTGTATAGGCATGTGTTTGTAAAACAATAACAAGAATGGGCACATCTTAATGAAGATTTCCAGGAATCTAAGTAACCTGTCTAGTTTTTACCGTTTGTATGCCTAACACTGTTTGGATATACTTAGCAAATCAATGTACCGAATGTTTAACTGGACAGACCTCAATATTTGTACAGTAGTATGTGGATTGTGTCAGTCATCATTTCTCAACTAGCTATTCTCTCTTCTATATGTCTTCCTTCATAAACTGATGTCTTGAGTTTTGGAATCGCCTTCAAGACTCATTTGTAAGTCATCTCCAAATTGCCTAAATTTTTTGGAAGGTATTAACTGCCCAGAAATGCGAATTTTCTGGTTGGATGTAAGTACTTAAAATAGCTACTTTTGACTGAAATGTTCTCTTTCAAAATTCTTCCCATTCCTAATAATGCCTTCACATTGACTACATTCCTCAAATGAATAGAAGGCAAGAATCCCAGGCAAATCATCATGAAAAAGGAAATGAACAGTCTAAAATGTTAATATTCTGCTTTCTTTCATAAACCTCATTCATTTCAAGTTCATTACAGTTTTGCTTTGTTGAAAATATTAACGTTGTAAGAAGTTAAAAAGTTATTACTTAAAAAGATTCAACTTATTATTACCATTATAAGGACATGTGACAGAAAGCAGCAAAGGTGGATTTTTTTGTGTCTAATTTGATTACTTCAGCAGTGATACTGAAATTAGTATTAGCAATTGGCATGGAATAAAAGCTCAATCATTTGAACATTTATTTGTAAAATTTTATTTATTGCTGTTTCATAATACAATTTATGTACATTTGAATAAATTATACATACAGTTCATTCCTAAAAAAGTATCACATTAAAATAAACATTAAGTATGTCTGCAAAATGTATTCTACTTATGTAGTTTATGGGAGACCAGCACATTAGATTTTGAAACTTCATCTTTCTGAAGTTCTTGACTTATAAAAATGACTGGAGATAAGTAAGGAAAATTAAATGTGTAATACTGATTGGCAACTTTGTAATGGCAGGGGAAAAACAAACAAAAGAAATTGCAATCAGAGATAGTAAGAACTGCTGATGCTGGAGTCAGAGATAACACAATATGGAGCTGGAGGAGCACAGCAGGAAAGGCAGCATCAGAGGAGCAGGAAAATTGACGTTTCTTCTTCAGAAGAAGGGTCCTGACCCAAAACGTCAACCTTCCTGCTCCTCTGATGCTGCCTGGCCCGCTGTGCTCCTCCAGCTCCACACTGTGTTATAAAAGAAATTGCAGCCTTGGTTTCAAATATACACTCTAATAATTGATAATAGATTTGTCCTGCCTCTCTTCTTTTTCAAATGATTGTATTTTAATGTACTTTATCTTAAAAATAAAACAAGTTTTATGAGTTTGGCAACTGCCTATGTCTTTTTGATTACAATTTTCCCTCCTAATAGATAGGGAGAAGCTGTTGCCGCTTGTAAAAGAATGACCACTTTCTTTACAGCAACTAGATATGGGCAATGAATGCTGGCCCAGCCAGTAACATGTATGTCCCACGAGTGAATTAAAAAAACAGAACAAGAGGACAGACTTAAAGTGACATGCAAAGAAAGCAAGGGTGATGTGAGAATTTGTCTGTAAACAGCCTGCCTGGAAATGTAGTAGAAGTAGATTCAATTGAGGTATTCAAGAGGGCACTGGATGGTTATTTGGATAGAAATAGTGTGCGGGAACATGGGGAAAGTCAGGAGACGGGCACTAGGTAATGGAGCCAAACTAAATAAGAGCTGGTTCAGGCACAATTCTGTGATTGTGGGAAAAATTTCAAATCTGGCATGCAGTATTCCTATGGAGTTTCTGTTGCATTAATTTAGTCGGGGGCAACGATTTGCTTAGGGGCAGCAGATGAATAGAAGTGAAAGAATCATTCCATTATCATTTTTAGTAAATCTCAAGTCAGATAGAATACATGCATTTTACATTTCACATTGCACTTTGGAATAACTTGCTTTAGCATGAGATTTACAATGGAATATATTTAATTCAATCTATAAGACCACAGAACGAATTCTGAAAATATGTATCAAAATTTAGCTGTTTTGATTGTTGTTTAGAATATTTTTAGAAACATTCACCAGAATAAATATACAGAAATGGCTCAAGTATAGCCTCTTAAATTTTCTCTTGCCATACTAATTAAGTGGTCATCCTTATAACATTCAACAAACTCACTCCTGGACCCCAGATCCAACTTGTGAATCCATCTTTAGTTTTTTGTGCATCGACGATGTTGTCTCATGCACTGTTCCATGCTAAGTAACACCTGTAAAAAGCAAGTCATGGTCCATAGACATGTAGTGAGATAGCGTCGTCGAGTCATACAGCATGGAAACAGACCAGTTGGTCCAACTGGTCCATGTCAACCATAATTCCAAACTAAACAAGTCCCACCTGCCTGCACTTGGCTCATATCCCTCCAAACATTTCTTATTCATATACTTTGCTAAATTTCTTTTAAATGTTGTAACTATACCCACATCCACCACTTCCTCTGGAAGTCCATTCCACACATGAACCATTGTCTATGTCAAAAAAATCGCCCCCATATCTTTTTTAAACCTTTCTCCTCCCACCTTAAAAATATACCCCCAGTCTTGAAATCCCCCGCCCTAAGGGAGAGACAACTGCCATTCACCCTATCTTTATGAATCTTTATAAGTCACCTCTCAACCTCCTAGCCCTATCCTATCCAGCCCCTCCTTAAAACTCAAACCAACCATTCTGGGCAACAGCCTGGTAGATCTCTTCTGTAGACCTCTACAGCTTAATATTGTTCCTGTAACAGGGAGACCAGAACTGGACGCAATACTCAAGAGGCCTCACCAATGTCGTGTACAACTTCAACATAATGTCCCAATTCCTATACTCAAAGGACTGAGCAATGAAGGCAAACATGCTAAATGCCTTCTTACTCACTCTGTCTATATGTGACGCAAATTTCAATGAATTATGTACCTGCACCCCTAGATCTCTGTTCCACAACACTAACCAACACCGTACTTTTACTTGTATAAGTCTTGTCTTTGTTTGTTTTATCAAAATGCAACACCTCACATTTATCCAAATTAAACTCCTTTGGCCATTCTTCAGCCTATTGACCCAATTGATCAAGATCTCTTTGTAAACTTAGAAAACCTTCCACTATACTACCAATCATGGTGTCATCCATAAACTTACTAACCATATATTCTATACTCTTATCTAAATCTTTTATATAAATGACAAACAAAAGTGGACCCAGCACCGATCCCTGTGGAACACTGTAACCAGGTGAAAAAATCCTCTACCATCACTCTCTATCTCCTGCCATTAAGCCAATTTTATAACCAATTGGCAAGCTCACCCTGAATCCTATGTGAGCTAACTTTGTGAATTACCATGCAGAACCTTACTAAAGTGCAAGTAAACAAAGTCTACCACTCTGCCCTCCTCAATCTTCTTGGTTACTTCCTCAAAAAACTCAATCACTTGATTTCCCTCGCACAAAACCATGATGACTATTCCTAACCATTCCTTGCCTCTCAAAATGCATATAAATCCTATCTTTCAGAATCACTTCCAACAACTTACCCACCACTGAAGTCAGACTCACAGGTCTATAGTTCCCAGGTTCCTCCTTATATCCCTTCAACAAAGGCACAATAGTGGCCACTCTCCAGTCATTCGGCACCTCACCCGTGTTTACAGATGATACAAATATTTCTGCAAGGAACCCTTCAATTTCTACCCTAAATTCCCACAAAGTTCTGGGATACACTAGATCAGGTCCCAGAGATTTATCCACCTTTATGTTTTCTAAGACCTCCAGCACTTCCTCTTCTGTAATGTGAACTGTTTTCAAAGCATCAGTATTTATTTCCCTAAGTTCTCTAACCCCCATTCCTTTCTCCCCATTAAAAGCTGATGCAGAATATTCATTTAATATCTTTCCCATCTCCTGAGGTTCAACACAAAGATGACTTCTTTGATCTTTAAGGGATCCTAATCTCTCTTAATGTATTTGTAGAATCGTTTTGGATTAACCTTCATCTTTTTGTCAAGGCTATCTCATATCCTCTCTTTGCCTTCCTGATTTCCCTCTTATGAATGCCCCTACATTCTTTGCACTCTTCAAGAGACTCATTTGAACCCAGTTGTTTATATCTAATATATGATTCTCTTTTATTCTTAGCTAGAACCTCAATATCTTTATTCACCCATTGTTCTCTAATCCTACAAGCCTTACCTTTTACTCTAACAGCAACATAATGACTCTGAACTCTCGTAATCACATTTTTGAAAGCCCCCCACTTATTAGATGACCCTTTATCTGAGAACAATCTAGGACAAGGTTCAGGATGTTTGATGTGTCAGTGGTTTTTGTATGTCAGCATGCTTCTGTTTATTTTTCATGTGTTTCATGTTTATTGCAGTACAAAATGAATAGGCGTAAGTCTGCAATTTTGGTATTCTAAAGCTAACTTGTTCAAATTACTGCTGGTCTTTTAAATCTGTCCCTTAGTATGATGTCTCCTGAGAATAGAATAAAATGTGTGCTGAGAACAGAATAACACGAAGCATGACAGTCAAAATCCTGAATTAAAATTAAGAAGCTTGAGTACAGAGCCTCTTTTTAGAGTTTCACTATTGTGTTTTGCCTCATTGGACCTGGAACGCTGAGTAAGCACTAACAGATTACATATTCTGGACCCACAAACAATACTTCATGGTATTTATGACAAGATGCTGACTACACATTTGCACATTTGGGTAAGATAGCAGGATTAGCTATTGGTGCACATTGCGTGCACTCTAAAACATCCATACACAAGGCTTCTACAGCATCCATCCTTTCAATATGCACAAGTCTGGTCAGCAGTTCAGGGATGCTGTAACCTGCTGTGCTTATACGATCGAAGAGTTGCATTCCATCTGTCATTCCACCTATTTCATCCCTCTTCAGCCCAAAGCTCTCTGCCAGATGACGCCATGTTTTCACAATAGCTTTATCCGTGCTGTAGGTAGAGCTCAACATTCTGCTGGTTTTCTCAAGACAGTCAAAAGGCAGTTCTGTAGGGCTGAGCCCTGAAATTATAGATTATAGTAATCGATTGAAATGAAACATATCATATGTTGCTCGCCAGAACAAAGTCTCATTTTGCCACCCTCTCCTAAATCTAACACTGCAGTTTTCTATTATTTCAGGATTTGCAAAAGTAGTTTGAACAATTATTAAAAGTGGTCCATAGAATTAAATGAAACAACTGAGGACTTTTATTCTAATATATTTATACAGGATATATGAAAGTTTCAGTAAACAAAACTTTCTGCATGTGGATTTGTTCACATGGAAATGCTGTTAGACTGCAGCTATCACACGGTTCTGGCTAAGAAACCGCTGCTCTTATTACATTTTAGAACAGGAGTATAAGAAGGATTTATAGATTGCAAATCAATGCACCGGGCAATGTTATGTCACACCTTTTGTGGTCATCAAGTCCTGAAGTGGGACCTGAACCTGAAGTTTCTGGCTCAGAGGTGCCACCCTAGCACCACAAAACCCCCTCTTAAATTGAAGCAGACTGGATTAGGAAAGTTCACAAAATGAAATTAATTTCTTACTTGAAAAGTGTAGGAAACAATAGATTCCTGATACATTACCTTCTGTGAAACTGCACACTTTCTTGCATAGCTCAAGTATCTTCTCCCTTCGTGTCTGTACCTGGACAATTAACAAAATCCACTTTCAGTTTTTTAAGAATCATTTAGATTAAGAATCAAATACCGGTCAAATGTATCTATATATGAATGTACTATTAATCCTAGGGAGAGATATAAAACCAAGTTATTGTCACGGTTGCATCATAGAGGTTTTTATGCATCGGTAGTCAATTGCATCCCTTCATACAATCTTAGTTCCTACACCACAAGAAAAGTGTCTAGGGTTTGCGGGCAATGCAGATGAGTTGACCAAACATTTACATCATCGAAGCTGTGACGAATATGGGATTCTTTCCCTTGAAGGGAGCCATTCAGCAAAAATATTCAAGATCCTTAAAGGAATGCAATAATTGAACCTCAATAATATATTTGAAAGTATCAGGCTCATTAACATTTTTTGAGGCAACAAGGGTTGGGTGATAAAATTCCAGTTTAGCCATATTGTTCACATCCTGAGATCTAATACATTTGAGAAAGCGTCAAGGTTTCAGTCTTTCTTTAAATAATGACTTAGAATCTTTAGAACTGGTAGAAACACTCTTGTTTTAACGTGTCATCTGATGGACAAACCCTCTGAGTTTATACTGGACTCAAATGAGGCTAAGGACCCTATAACCGATGCCAATTAAACACAAGCACAACAGCACATTCAGTGACCTGTAATTTGTAAGAAAACGAAGGAATTTAATTGAAATGTCGATCATGAGGGATATAATGCACTTCTGTGATGCCCACAAGCTATGAAAAGCTATACACATTTCTACAGAGAGAGAGAGACAGCTGGTGAGTTTGCCCCAAGGGTTAAGGTGAGGTTGACTTAGCAGGACCTTCACAATGTCCTAAGCTCAGACAAGAGTTGAACCTATGCTATTGGCAATAATCTGCATGTCAAGCCAGCGATCTAGCCAACTGGGAGATGCTGTTGGACTGCAGCTGTCACACGGTTCTGGCTGACTAAGAAATCGCTGCTCTTATCACATCTTAGCACAGGAATATAAGAAGGATTTATAGATTTTTAAATCAATGCACTGGGCAATGTTATGTCACACCTTCTGTGGTCATCAAGTCCTGAAGTGGGACCTGAACCCAAAGCTTCTGGCTCAGAGGTGCCACCCTGTCACCACAAAACCCCTATACAGATTTGTGTCCAACCGACTAATCAGTACTCAATACATATTTACTTTATTACAATTAATGACCAGGTATTTAACATCAAGAGAACCTGTAGATGCTAATGTTAATATCTGTAAAAGTGCCTGTCATAAAAATCAATGCATTTAGTAATGTCCTCTAGGGAAGGAAACCTACAATGTTTACCCAATCTAACTTATGTGTTATGGTATAGGAGAAAGCCAAGCAGTCCTTGTGTCTGCACCGTCTCTCTGCAAAATTTTAACATTATGCCAATCCTACATTTCCCCTTAGTCCTGCAGATAGTTTCTATTTGAATAATCATCCAATACCCTCTCGAATGCTTCCACCACGCTTCCACAGTGCATTCCAGACCTTAACTACTTGCTATGTGAAAAATATTTTTCTTATTTATTAGCTTCTTTTGCAACCAGGTTAAAACTGTACTTTCTGGTTCTTGATTCATTTACGAGTGGCAACAGTTTCACCCTATCTACTCTATACACACCTCCCAAGATTTTGAAAACTTTTATCTGACCTCCCTTTAGCCTGTCTTTTCCAACAAGAACAGTCCCAATTTCTCCAATCTTTCTTCATAAGAAGCGTCTCATTCTTGGAACCATTCTCATAAAACTCTTCTGCATTGTTTCCAAAAAATTCACATCCTTACTACAGCATGGCCAGGACTGGACACAAAATTGTCATAACTTAACTGGGAAGAATGCACCAATAAAGATGCCACCCTATCCCACAAGCCATCACAAAATGTATAGAATTCCAAGACAGACAAAAGACAAATGGGTAATACATATATTATGGGTGGAAAAAGAATATAGAAAGGGTAAACAAAATTCCAAAAGTCAAAAGTCCAGATCGCAAGGTGGAATGTTATTTTTCTCATGGTCGTTTTGATTTTTGGAATGATGATATACCACTGTCTGTAGAGTGATGGTTGTTCTTTGATTCGACAGTTAATTAGGTGACCTTAGCTCTCTTCTTGTATGTATTATTCCTTTTAAGCTTTCTTGGTTTTTCTCTCTTTCCCCACATGGGAAGAGAGAAAGAGAGCAAGATGACTGCTTTCTGTCTGCAGGTTTGGATATTTCTTTCGCTCTGTGTTCTTGGCACCTCCAGCTTTTTAAAGCTCTGGAGCTCAACCTGCTGTCAAGTGGAATTTTATTAACCAAAAGATTCTCTACACCATTCAACCTCAAATTCTCAGTCATACTGGTTCCAAAATGAAACATTGTTTGTGCATCTCAATAATATGCAGTAATTGATTTTCAAGTTGCAAAACCTTCCTGATATTCCACTTATAGCAGTCCAGCTTCCATTTCAGCTTATAGCCCCAAAAATGAAAAATATGCGATCACTTACAATACTCCACATAAGGTCAATCAGTTTCTTATCTATGTTCATGATAACCTCCTTGCTCTTATATTCTATGTCCCTGTTAATGTAGAATACTGTATGGTTTATAGCTCTCTCCACCTGTACTGGCAGCTTTAATGTCTTATGTATACACAGGATATGTATATACATACGCCTATGCAGGTTTCTCTGCTCCTGCACATTCTTTAGAATAGCACCTTTTATTTTAAATTGTCTTTCCATGTTATTTGCACCAAAATTTATCACCTCACACTTCTTTGCATTGAACTTCATTTGGCTATCTACCAACTCACCAATGTGTTATTATCCCTTTGAAGTTCTACGATGTCCTCCTCACACTTTAGTTGTGTTTCATCTGCAGACCCTGAGTTATGAAAACTCACAGACTGTTAAACAAAATCAATCGGTTGTATCCGGATTCAGGAATCTTGCATATCCCATTTTCACCAGTGGGAGAAAGAGGATGGGTCGTAACATGTATGGTTCTTACACATGTAAGAAACCCAAACTTGACATTTAAATTTAATGCTGAGTTCAAACAGACCCCAGGGTTATGTATAGAAGTCTATTTGTATAAAGGGTTAGGTACTTGATGATTTAAACAGTTGAATGGGCTTTCAAAAATGAGAGGGTTTTTATTATTTTTTACTTTAGTAAGGCCCGAGTAGATATTTAGCCCTTATATATTTATTTAATCTTTTATGACTGATGAGGTGTGCTCATGGTGGATATTGTTGAGTTAGCTTGGAGTGTTTAAGATGTGGAGCCAGTGTTGGCATTAAGTTGACATGATGGGTATTAACAAGGTGGTGGTCTAACTGTTTCCATCTGTACTATAAAATTCTGTGATTTCTAAGCAGTCAGACTTTAGTGTACAACATGTTTTGTCTGACAAAGATTAATGAAGCTTACATCTTGTGGCTGATAAATTATTATAAGACATTTAGTCAGCCTGTTCAGATGATTGCTTTTATTCCTGTTTTTTTTTCTCAGATACAGTATATATATCTAGAATAATGCATAAACTTTCCAGATCGATATCCATTTTCTTCCTTGCAGAAAGCCTTACCCCAATTGCTTTGTTGTTTGCTGATTTATCTCTCGTTAAAGGAACCAACGACAAGAGGCATAAATCAGACATTCCCCGCTTGTCTAAAGCGGCTTCCTCATCACTGTCCATACTCCGGCTCAAAAGCTGCTCATTTTCTGAGGAAGCATCATTTTCACTGGAGAAGAAAACACATTGCTGACATGAATACAACAGGAAATATTGTAGGAAATATATATCTTCCATTCAGATTTATCTGTGAACTGAAAATATTATTTAATCTGCATCTCAGTGTAGAAATTAAACACTACCCTTCAGAACATCAACCTTGAAACTTATTCAAGTAGGATAAAAGAAGGATAGTCATGGCTAAACTATTGGAATTATTCAAAACAGACCTAGATCCTAGTATGGAAGAGTTAGTGCAGTACAGTACTGAGCATAAATATGCCAACTGATCTTCTCTCAAACATGCCTCATGTTGTTACACCAATATACGGCTGAAGAAACATTTAAGGGTCTTACAAAGGTCTGAATGAGTTCCATCTCCACAGTTTTCAGTATGTCTCATATTGTGCCTTATTCATATAAGTAAATAGTACTTCTGACATTTCCATAATTATTGAATGCTCAATAATCTGTATGAACATATATAAAGGATGAGAATGTTCAATGTTTCTTTATACAAATATATTAACACATACTTCACATGTCCAGACACTATGACGCAGCACTGAAATATCCCATGCATTGGGGTCCATTAGCGGTGATATTGGATGGGTGCTATACAAACTTATGCACAAAATGAACTGATCTCCCTAATTATGGGATTTCAGAATATTTGAATAATTTATGAAAATCCTGGGTTAATCTCCTTCTGATCTCAGCCACAAGACATCTCTGCAGGAGTTCCTCAGGGTAGTGTCCTAGGCCCAACCACCTTCAGCTGCTTTTTCACTGGTCTTCATTCCATCATAACATCAGAGCTGGGGATGTTCACTGATAATTACTCAATGTTTAGTACCATTTGCAACTCAGGTACTAAAATGGTCCATGTCAAAACGCAGCAAGACACGGACAATATTTACACTTGGGCTGACAAGTGACAAGTAACATTTGCACCACACCAGTTCCAGGTAAAGACCATCTTGAACAGAAGTGAATCTAAGTTGCTCCCTGGCATTCAAAGGCAATACTATTGCTGAAGCCCCACTGTCAAACACTCTGGGTATTACAATTGACCAAAAATTGAAATGGACCAACATATAAAGCGACTACAACTGCAGGTCATAGGTTAGTAATCCTGCAAGTACCTTCACCTCCTGATTCCACAGTTTCTGTCCACCATCTACCAGGTACAAGTGATGAGTGTGATGGAATACTCTCCACATGTATGATTGGGTGTAGCTCCAAACTTATCCATAAAACCTGATACCAAGCAGGACAAAACAGACAGCTTAACTGGCAACCCCTCCACCATCTTCAGCACTCACTCCCCTTACCAACATGCCCAGTTGCAATGTGTACATCTACAAGATGTACTGTAGTAACTCACCAAGGCTCCTTCAATTGCAACTTGCAAACCCACCACCTCTAGATACACTGCTACCTGCAAGTTCCCCTCCAAATATGCCATACTAACTTTTGTCATTTTTAAACTGTTACTCTTTCATCATTCATAAGTGAAGAGCCCATATCTCCCTGTCCTTCCAACCAAATAGTGCAGAATTCAAGAAAGCAGCTAACCACCATCTTCAAGGACAGATATGAGATGCACAATAAGTGATGGACCAGCCAAAGTTGTCCACATCCAACGAACAAATAAAGAAGAGGCTGACAAAAACTACAGATCACAAAAATCAAAGCAAATTGACTTACTTCTTTTCAGTCTTAGGTGGAACTGCCTTGAGTTTGTTATCAAATTCATCTTTCTCAGCGAATATTACAACATTTTCTGTCAAAAGATAAAATATAAATTGAAGATTTAAAAGATAACTTGGATGAATGTAAATAATTAAAGAGAGAGTAAATTTTAAGCATAATTGTCAATCTAGATGCAAAACTTATCAGCAGTTCTTTCACTTAAACCGTCTCTCAAATTCATTTCACATGTCCCCAAAAGTCAAATCTGATGTGAATCAACGCATATACCATTTTTGAAAAGTATGCTTTAAGAAATATTCCTCTATGTTCAGCAATGGTAACTTGCTGCAGTTTGATTAGTCCTGCAGAAAATTAAGCATTTTTTTATCAAAGTGTCTAGTCCACAGTCCCTGAGTAGCCTGATTTTAAACAACTGAAAATGACCAGCATCAGCAATGGCAGGAGTTGGAGTCAATCCAGGGAAAGAAAGGAATGATAAAGGAAAGAAAGTTGAATAAATGGCTGGAATGTTTACAAATATTACAGAACTCAAGAAGAAATATGGGCTGGAGGGGTCATGGAAAGAATGTTTTTAACCAAGAAAAGGTACTATTACTTTGCTGGCTCTTTCCTACAGGCTGTCAACTACTGGGAAAAACATGGAGGAGCAAAGTGCAGAAAATGATAAATTCTAATAAACATCATAATGTGACTTTAGTTATCCTAAAATAGTCTGGGATAGTATTACCATAAAAGAGAAAAAGAGGGAAGAGTTTCTGAGGAAATTTTCCACATCGGTATGTTTCAGACCCATTTAGGATTGAGGCATTGCTGGATCTGATTCTGGAGAATAAGGTGACCCATGTGTCATTAGGGCAGCAAATATGGATCAGTGATGATTCCATGGTTAACTATGAAAAAGGATGAGGAACAATCTAAAGTTAAAATACTCAAGTATAAGCAGGCCAATTTCAATGGATCAGAATGAATCTCAGTTCACTGGAATCGAGGATTAGAAGACAGAACTGGAATGAAACAATGATTGACCTTTAAAGAAGCAATCTTTCAGGTACAGTCAAATAACAATCCCACGAAGGGGAAAGGTAGGGTAAGCAAAGACAGAAATACCTTGCTCATGAGTGATAGAGAGTAAGATGAAGAAGTCAAAGTGGGCATATGATATATGTCAGGTTGGTAATGCAAGTGAGGACCAGGCTATATAATTTAAGTTCAAAGGGGAAGCTAAAAGGAAATAAGAAGGGCAAAGAGCGCATATGAAAACAGACAGGCAGCTAAGGGAAAATAAGAAGTTTTTACACGCATATAAACAGTAAAAGGGTAGTAACAAATTAGGTAGGGTCTATTAGAAACCAGATAGAGAATCTATACTTGATGCCTGGAGAGTTACAAATGTTACATGCTTATTTGGAAATGGTATAAGAATCAACTCAGGAACTAAATATCAACAAGTATAACCCCGCTGTTTACATATAACTTTAGAGTTAGAAAGTTTTCAGAGATAGTAATTCAGAAAAATAAGTCACTTGAACAGATTAATTAAGGAGAGCCAGCAAAAATTTGCTAAATTGCATTCTTTTTTAAAGAGTTACAGAGAGAGGTTGATGAGGATAATATAGTTAATCTGCATGTGGACATGCAAATGATATTCGACTAAATTCCTCCTAAAAGAATTGATGGTATAGTTGAATTTTATGGTGTAATAGGGAGCTTGCAAACAAAAGTGGCAGAGTGCCTGAGACACAATAATAGTTGCTTGTCAAACTGGGAAATGGGATTCCCTTGGGATTGGTACTAATGTCAATATTTTCCTTTGATATATATTAATAACATAGATTTAGCTGTATAGGTATAATTCCAAAATTTACAGATGTCACAAATCTTGGAAGGATTATGACCGATGAGCTTGAGAATAATAGTCTTTGAGATCTGTTAAGACGGTTGGTTGGTGAAATAGGTGGACAATGGCACATGGAATTCAATGCAGAGAAATGTGAATGAATACATTGGCTCTGGACCCGAAACATTTGGTCTATTTGTATTTTCAGTGCATAGAGATGATTGGCCTGCCAAGAATATGGAAAAGGATGTTTTGCAAATAGTGAGGATTATAAATGACTACAAGGAGTCAGAGAGAGACTAACAGAATGGTAAACAGGTAATGTATACCATATGCTCTCAAACAGGCCTCCTAGGCCTGTATGAGGAGGGTTAAGGAGGACCATTTGCCAATGGCCTGTCTTAACATTATCAACATCACCATCACCAACTCTTAATTAACAACCATCAAAGCTAGTATCGGACTAGACAGATCACCCATCTGACTTCTCACAGCTACAATGAACTGCAGAATCAACTCCAAAGTTGAACACCATATTTTGAAATTTGCAAGTAGTTTCAGTGCAATTTCGCTGTGAGTGTGATGCTAGATTTGTACATTTTGTGTGCAAAAGATTGGCTAATCATTTTAAATAGCAAATCCTTTCAGCTATCCACAACAAGCAAGGTACTGACTCCACACAATAAGCACTTGCAAAGCTCACAACACAGTGTTCAAAACTAGATACAATACATGACTGGACAACATTTGTTAATCCCAGGGTGCTAAGAATTACATTGACAACTAATTTACGATTGTCAGTTGGGCTTACAATGATGTCACACCTGCACGTATTGAAAGCTACACTTTGTTCTTTGCAACCAGAAAGAAAACGTATGCCCTTTGCATGTATTTCAATTCAACAAAATCAGTGACATCCATTCTCTGGTTGATCTTTCAGGCCACTGCTTTGACTAGCCAGTTAACATGCCTGTTTTGAATTTAAGCAGAGGTTGGCAGTTAATTGTCAGTCATCTAACTGGTGCCTTCTCCATGGCAACACCTCTACCAATTAAAGTATACCTTCCAACCAATCAGCACTGTCATCTCATAAAGTACAAATATGGTTTTCCATTTACATTGGCTTTTCTTGCAAATTGAGCTGATGATTGCAAGATGAAAGATTTTGACAAAATGCATCCTTTTTTCAATAATAGTCAAGTTATGTATAACCAAACAATATTTTGGTCACTTGTGCAGACTCACAAATCTCTAATTACTCTGTTAGTTGAGGAGATGGCCATCTCATGCTACCTTATGTGGGGAAACGCCGTGAAAGAAAGGAATAAAATAATATAGAAGGGAAACATAAGGGGTAATGCTTTGAAACACAACGCTTGTACAGATATGAATTGATGCTTAATTGCAAAAAGTGGATAACCCAGCCTTGTCAAGATTTAAAGAGCAAATTATAAATGACAGTATGCTGTTAGGAGATGGGTTGTCAACAACATGTCTAGGAAATCAACATTGTCCATACTTTCCTTTGAAGTCTCAAAATTAGAATAGGTTTTAATAATTGTAACTTTATACTTTTTTGCCCACTGGGTTTTAAATTATGAAACAAATGCAGGTGCTGACATGCCAATACGTATACTCTAGGTGGGATTGGATGCTTTTAAGACAGGTCTTAGACAAAATAAGCAGGCAGGTGCAGCAGGTGAAGAAGGAAAATGGTATGTTGGTCTTTATAGTGAGAGGATTGGAGTACAGGGGCAGGCATATCTTGCCATGATTGTGATGGCCTTTGTGAGACTACACCTGGAGTATGGTGTACAGTTTTGGTCTGCTTATCTGAGAAAGGATGTTCTAACTATGCAGGGAATGCAACTAAGGTTTACCAGACTGATTCTCAAGGTGGCATATGAATCAAGGTTGAATTGGTTAAGAGAATATTCGCTGGAGTCCAGAAGAATTGGGAGGGTGGGATGGGGAGAAATCTAACAGAAAACTTTGAAATTCCAAGAGGAGTAGACAGGGTGAAAGCAGGAAGAAAGTTCCTGATGACCAAGGAATCCAGAACAAGGAGTCACAGTCTAAAGACATTGGGTAGGCCATTTAGAACCAAGATGAGGAAAGATCTCTTCACCCAGAGAACGGTGAGCCTGTGGAATGATCTGCCTTGGAAAGCAGTTGAGACTGAAACATTTATTGTTTTCAAGCAGGTGTTGGATATAATTGTTAGGGCTTAAAGGATCAAAGGGTATGGAGAGAAAGCAGCAACAGGGTACTGAGTTGGATGATAGCTGTGATCATACTGAATAGTGAAGCAGACTCAAAAAGGGCCAAATGGCCTACACCTGCTCCTATTTTCTATGTCTTTATGTCTTAATGTAGATATTGAACACTCTTTCACCTTGTACTTCCTTCTTGTCTTCTTGGGTATTGATCTGAGCTTCAACATTTTTTACGGAATTGCCACTGCAGCAAGCTAAAAAAAAAACAAGAATGATTAACTTAACTTGTGACAAAATGGAAATGACATTGAAAAAAACTTACTTCCTGAGTGCAATTCATACTCACCCTGAGTAGAAGACTTTGTCTTTAAAATGTAGAAAAGAACAATTAAAACAATGGCTACGGCCATTATGAAAATGGTGGACATGGCAATTATCAAAGCAGTGCCCAGGTGACCTTGTCCAGCATGATCTACTAAGGAAAGGTAGAATTGAAGAAATAAATATTGACATTGTTTAAATTTTCCATACCAGTTATGAATCTCACAAACATGTAAGACATAAAGTAGAAGGTTGAAAACATTGAGCTCAATTCAGGTGTCAATGGATGTGACCAATATTTTTGGTGACAGTCAACTGCAGAGACACCATCTTGGCACAGCTGCACAACCTCATGTCCCTCATCGGCGGGATCTCAGTGATTATACTCGACAAGGGAGACAAATCTGATTGTGGAAAGTCTTTGCTGTTTGCCACAGGGAAGATTGGAGCAAGGATTCTCATCAAACACCCATGGAACTCCTTTCTGCATTGCAGTGTGTTTTATTTTCCACCAAGAGGCACCACAGATAATAAACCTCACTGCAACGGCAACTTTAGAAAAATTATGAGGAACAACCCTTGAGGAGATGGTGGTAAGCTGCCTTCTTGAACTGCTGCAGCCCTGGGGGTATATGAACACACACACAATGTTATCAGGAAGGGTGTTCCAGGATTTTGACCCAGTGACAGTGAAAGAACGGTGATATAGCACCAAGTCAGGTGGTTACACATACATATATCTAATAAAATGTGCACGTTTAAAACGTTTCAGACTCAAAGGTGTTAACTTATTAGATACTTAAACATCCTTAAGGACCCTTCCCCTCATACCTTTGTGAGTTTCTTGTAGAACTGGAGAGTTTCCAGTGACAGCTAAGCTACTGCTTGATAAGCTTGAAGACAAAGTAATGCCCAAGCCTATGAAACAATCATAGAGAAAGTTAACTTTAGTATGAAATCAGGACAAACATACAGGGTTCAATTACTTCATGTAAGTTTTTAACAATCATTTTTTGAAAAAAAGTCATTCATACATGTTGGAAATTTTGTGTTTTTATTAGCTCCTAACTTGTCTTTGAATTAGGGTACCTTAATATGATTAAGATACCTCTTAAGATCAGGCTGAGTTTCTGAGTCTCACTCTCATGGCAGTCAAATGTGACAAATGTAATGTTTCTTTATACATATGATGAAAGTACCAAGGCAGCTGTAAGTCATTCATATGCTTTTGTATACGATGCACCAAACAGAAGGACATAATTATTTGTGCCCTCACATCTCAGAGAATTGCAGAGGCTTGGGAGTAGGTACATCTCTCTTCTTGGTTAAGGTCTGATGTATGCACCACACTAGGGATAGGCTGGATAACTGACTGTGGCTTCGGCTTCACCCAAGAATTAGCTACCTTACTCCAATGCCCAATACGTGCAGATATTATTTCATCAATAGTGGTTTATAATACAAGACATTCATTCAGCAATACTATTGGGAATTATGAAGTGTTCGGCACGGCTATGGAAATCCCAAGTAATTCACACTTTTATTTCGTCATTCAATGAAAGAATCTGCCTACTGTTAATAACGAACCTGAGTTATTTTTCCTACAATGCATAGAGTCAACATTATAAACATAAAAATAACCAGAAGATTTGATAATTTAGACTATTACCCTTAGAACACAAAGCTGATGGTAGTCTAAGATCTGCCTATTTTTACTCTTATTAGGATGATATTAATTGATGATTTTTGTCAGCAACCAGATGAATTGGATTAACTGTTCTTTGCAGAATCTGTTTCATTTTCATTTCACTGATTGCCAAATTTCTCTATTTTTGACTTGCTCTACTTGCAAACTTCAAGGCCCCTTTATCTTTCACTTTTCTAATTTCTCACATTTTTCTTTCTGTAGTTCACTACCACATCTTTCAGCCTCAAATAATAGCACAATGTTTTTTTTAAAATTGTTTCAGAGATTTTTCATATTATCCAAGAGTTTTCTGTTAAGCAGCTTGCAGATTAATCAATGCATTTTATATTTATTTCAGAATGCAGTGCCTGTTCTTTCTCTTTAAATCCATTTGCTTTATTTGTATATTAATAGCTATGAAAAGACTTATACCTCAAATGTTAATGATTCTTTTCTCTATTTGGGAGTTAACTGACTTTCTGTGAATTTTAACTTTTGCTTCACATTTCTACCTTTCCTCCTTTATCCTTTGGGATGGATTCATGTCAAAACCTGTCTCCTAAATGATAAGGAGAACTTCCTAATCCTTTACCTAATGTTGAACCATTGAATTAAGGATGATTCTGCTTTGTGTCCTGCTCTGTAGGGATTCAGCCAGCCAGGCTGGCAGTGAGAAAGTTTGCTGTAGCCTCTGGTCCCTGGTTTTGGCCTTTACCTAGACTACACTAATATGTAATGTGAACATTCATCAAATCGTCTGTGAAATTCTGGCTTAATGCTGAAGTAACAGCAAAGCAGGATATAGTATTGAAATTATGTTTTTAATACATGTGCACACTTAAGAAGTAACTCACATTCTTTTGTGTTAGGAGGTGCCAGTAAACAGGAATGGCAAACCTTTGTATAGGTGTTTCTGGATCTATTGTCTAGGATGTAGTAACTGAAAATAAAGATAACAAATATAAATTATCAAAGCAGCCTCAGCAGAAATAGCACGTCAATAGTAACAATGGATAAATTAAAGATAATGCCATAAGTAATATATAGGAACTCCCTCCTTTGTCAGTGCACACCAATCACAAATCAACATAATTTTGTAGGTTCCATTATTTTAGTACTAATAGAGTCAGAGAGTCATAGAGTCATACAGCATTGAAACAGACCCTTCGGTCCAAGTATTCCATTCTGACCAAGTTTCCTAAACTAAACTAGTCCCACTTGCCTATGTTTGGCCTATACCCCTCTAAACCTTTCCTATTCATGCACATAGAGTCATAGAGTCACAAAGTTGTACAGCATGGAAACAGACCCTTCGGTCCAACTTGTCTATGCTGACCAGGTATCCTAAATTAACCTAGTCCCATTTGCCAGCATTTGGCCTATATCCCTCTAAACCCTTCTTATTCATATACCCATCCAGGTGCCTTTTAAATGTTGTAATTGTACAGCCTCCACCACTTTCTCTGGCAGCTCATTCCATACACGCACCACCCTCTTGGCCCCTTTTAAATCTTTCCCCTCTCACCCTAAACCTATGCCCTGTTTTTGGCAGATTTAAAAGTACATCTTTGGCAAACAATGTCCAATGAAAATGTAGCAAACTATAAAATAAAGAAAACTAGGAAATTCAGCACATTATACAATAAATTTTGCACAACCTGAGATTCTCAGACACTGTATGGAGCTGTCCCTGTATGAAAACAAACACAGTTTTCTGACATTGATCTTTGAAGTAACAGGTGTATGCCCAGCTAATTATTGAACTGATGCTTCACATTAATTTAATTACCGTTTGGTGTTTGTCAGCTTTGGAGGTAGAACTCCATCACAAATTATTGCATTTCATACAGGAGCAGATTAACAGTCAGGAGACAGAGAAAATGATAATGAGGAAAATTGAAATAATGTTTTAACATATATGTTAAGCTAAAACTCTATTCATAATAGTGCAATATTAACCAGAATTGATATAATGCTTGGAGTTTGTTACGAAAACAAAATACTGTGGATACTGAAGATCTCAAATAAAAACAGAAAATGCTGGAGAATCTCAACAGGTCTGGCAACAACGTGGAGGGAGAGACAGAGTGAACATTTTCATTCTGCTATGACTCTTCCTGGGTGTCTCTTTTGAACGTACATGTTAACTGTTCCTCTCCACAGATGCTGCCGACCTGCTAAGTTTCTCCAGCACTTTCTGTTTTTATTTATGACAAAAATAGAAGTTGCCGGAAAAGCTCAGCAGGTCTAGTAGCATCTGTGAAGAAAAAATCAGAGTCAATGTTTTGGGTCCAGACCCGAAACGTTAACTCGGATTTTTCTTTCACAGATGCTGCCAGACCTGCTAAGCTTTTCCACCAATTGCTGTTTTTGCTCCTGGTTTACAGCATCCACAGTTCTTTCGGTTCTTATTCTGTTTGTATTTATTGTTTGTTGTATTATGCTTATCATTTCATTCTTCATCACCCCACAGTGCCCGGCCCAACATGACAGCACTGTTAACTAGCTTTGATCAATGAAAAGACAGGCAATTCTTTGTCACTCCTAAATAGTTGTTTGAATTTTGGTCTTGCAAATCAAAACAAATACTATTCAGCCCGGCACCAGAATCAATTGCGCATCCTCACAAGGCCTGTACTGTAGCTGCCAGTGCATGTTCAGTTGCTGCCACAAAGATGGTGGGAGCCATCTTTGTGCTGTGCCAGTTTAATACAGCATCTTTAACGGTGAAAATGGTATGCCAATCATTGAGGGTTTATTGAAAATCCAGCAAAATTACATCTACTGCATTACCGTTGTCTACATACCCTGTTGTCTCCTCAAAGCATTCAAACTATGTTGGTCAAGGTAGATTTTCCCTTTTGAAAAATTGACGAGCGATTTTTAAAAAAATTCTAGATATTCTCCTACTTTCTCCTTTAGTCGGAAATCCATTAATTTTCCTGTTGAGTGGTCTATAACTCCCTGGATACATTTTCTCCCCTCCTTTTAATATGGAATTACACTAGTTATCTGCCAGTGTTCTGGCACTATGGCTTGGATTTTTACCAAGTCTGAATGGATCGTGGGCCTTGCAAAATAGTGGACAGGTCCTAATTATGGAATTCCTGACTCCATTCCCAAGCTTTCCAATCTTCTTCAAAGACTTTTAAGAATAAGTGCTGGTTTGGGTTTGAGCCTGCATCATGCTGTCCTGATCTGGCCACCTCATTGCTCACATTGGTATGTACAAGTACTCCACAATTTTCATGGAGTCTGACCAGTTTCTTGAAGCATTATGATTCATAGCTCCTCAGAAGTGATAGGAATCTTTTGTAAGGTGCTACAACCGGGGGAAGAACTGTGAACGGGCTCACCACAGCTGACTACAACAAAGATTTTGAACTCCTTTTTAGCGCGCAGCTTTAACTTCCTTCAATACAGATGGAGTTTTCTAGTTCACCACAATCAAATAAGGAATCAATTGTTAAGGTATCCTTGAGTGAAAGGAAAAAGTGCTTTTATTACCTGCTAGCCCAAGAAAAATAGTAAACACATTACATCAAATACACACACAAACCCAGGTAGGAATTTTAAAATAGAGAGAGTGCACAGTACAGAAAGCAAGATAAAAGAATATACATTCTTAGAGTGCCCTTGAGGTGTTAGGATTTCACCTGATACCACAGTTAGTTCACTGATGTCTTGAGTCCCCAGCAGCAGCAGCCAATGTTTCAGCTTGTAATTGTTGGAACAGTGAAGGTTAAGAAGGCACCTGAATTATGAGGAGCACAGATAAGATGGATTGGAAGGCAACTTTTCCATTAATACAGGAATCATAAAACAAGGGGGGGACATAGATTTAAGATAAGAGGTAGGTGGCTAGGAGGAAAGTTGAGGAGATTTATTTTCACCCAGAGTAATTGAAACGCTAGTAACATTTATACAATATTTAAATATTCACTGGCTTTGCCATAGCCTCCAGGACTCTGGGCCAAGAGCTGAGAAATAGAACCTGTACAGCCAGATTTTTCTTGACTAGCATGGCACGATAGGTAAATGCCCTTCTCTGTCCTGTATATTTCTATAAGTATTGCAGAAATCTTTGAGTTGTCAGTGAAAGGATATTTTTCTGATTTGCTTCATTACTGGGTTGTTGCCCTTCACAGAGTCGGAAAGAGACAAGGAGAAAGAAAGCAAGCTTTCTCCAGTTCCAGTGCCAAATGTGTTTTCTCTCTATAGCTTTGTGGGAACTCATTTGTGTATTCTCATGTCTGGGCTCATTGTTTTCTGAACTAAATAACTTTCAGCTGGATTATTTGCAGGTAACCTTTTCATCTCCAATATGTGAAACTTATCCATAATTGTGTAAGGCAAATAGGAAATAAGACCTAAATTTCAATGCCTTTGGAAAATGCTAATTTTGGCTCAAACTATCTTTGTTTCCCTTACATTAGTTTCATGAAGCTGGGCTGACTTGTGGTCAACTGATTGCTCGGGCCTTTTATTTGCTTTTTAAAACCGTTTCAATGCATGAAGGGCCCAGATATTAAAATCAGGATGATGCAAGTCAAAATTGATAGCCCATATTTTACCACTGTCGTGACAAAGGTAAAATCAAAAGTTTCTCCTCATGCTCCATATGCCAGGTTCTGCCCTTCCACTCATGATCCCTCAACTCTCCTACGCCAACTTGTGCACCTCCAACCACTTCCTCTGGCCAACGTTATGCTGCCTGTTCTATATGACAGCGCTTCCACGCCCATTGAACAACTGTATACTGTATACAATCAGTGAATCCCATAGGATCATCTAGGGAGCAGCATTCATTGCTGGATGGTTGTTCCATTTGAATGTTTCCCAGTCTCCCATTGCTCTTCCAAACGCAGTGTCTCTTCCAGGGCTATGTCGCAGCAGAGTGGAGTCGGAGATGGGGGAAAGACAAGACACATTTGCTGCTCTGTGGCATGCTTTTAAATGTCAAGTGTAAATTTGTGTTACTGGGTGAATGGGTACTGTGGTAGGGGCGGTACAAGTGTGAGCTGGTAAGTGAATGGGATTCATAAGTTGGGAGGTAGGTGAGGTGTAAAGGTCAGTAGATTACAGGTGGTTGAGGCCCAGGTGGGTAGGGTGGCAGATGGTTAGAGGCAACTAGGTAGACTGGCAGGTGGGTGAGGTTGCAGATGGGAGGGTGACTGGTGGGTAAGGTGGGTAAATGGATAGGTAGCTTGGAGGATAGTCAACACAGGGGCTAGTCATTTCGGGTTGGGGGTTAGTTTGTTCAGAGGTCAGGGATGTAGGTGTGGGGTCACAGACTAGTCTAGTTATGTTGTGCAGGTTAGTAGTCAGGGTTCCAGGGAATAGACAGAGAGTTAGTGGGTAATCTAGGGAAGTGCTGAGAGTAGACAGGAGCATCAGTGTGGGTGATAGAGGGACTAGCTCTGTAGTTACTCAGGATTTAGTCTAGGAAGTCTGTGTCCAACATTTTCTGAGTAATAATTCAGTTACATGCTATGGAACAATCCAAATTCTTGACTCCAACTCAGAGACAAATATTTTTGCAGAGATTCACAGGGAATTGCTCATTGGAAGTTGAAATTTCCAGGGCAATTCCCATGGCAGCTAGTGGTTCAGGATTTTCGTGGAGTCCTGAACCACATCTTGGTCGACATCTGGTCTCTGTTGATCCAGAGATGGGAAGGCTCGGGCCAATATTTCACAACCGATGAAAGCTGTCAAATCTGTACTTTTATCTTTTTTCAGTTATTAAGAGAAATTGATTGGGGTCACATAATTATCAATATATTTTTCAATGAAGTAAGCATCAGAATGTTTGTAGGATCCATTGCATATTGTCTTAATTTAAAAACAAATATTCCTTATTAAAACTCTTATGAACAATTAACTGACTTAAATTAAAATAAATTATGGCAGTCCTTTGAGTAATGAAACGTTCTTAAT